ATATATATATATTCAAACACCCGGAAGGAACCTTTCCTTCGGAATGTTAGTTTTTCACCTTTTATGACAGTAAGAAAAATAAACTTAAAAGATAAAAGAAGTAAATAAACTATTGGCATTTTTCGGTTATATTTTAACACTACATTACCTAACTGCACATTTAGAATAATAATAAATTTCAGGAAAAAAATTTAAAAAATATTATTTGAAATTTCTTATAGTGTACAGAAAGAACTTTGTCAAACATTTTACAGGACAATACACCTCGGACTATTATAAATATAGCGAAAATATTATAAATATTTGCGCTACCTTGTGGATAAGTTAGGATTAAAATTACATAAAAATACTTATATTAGTATTTCCTAACAGCACTGTAAGAAGAATCTTACGTATCGAGTTTTTCCATAAAATTTGTAACGCAGAAATCTTTAGAAAAGCAAAGCAGAAACCGGATGAAATGAAAATTAAAATAAATAAATGGAAATGGATTGATCATGTTCAACGTAAACCTGAAAAATTTAAAGTAAAACAAGTTTTTGATAGGAACCCACAGGGCAAAAGCAAAAGAAGAAGAGTTAAAAATACTTGCCGCAGGATGATTCTAAGTTAATTGAAAATAATCAGAAAAACACGGGGAGCGGCAAATATCTGCCACAAATAGAAGTCTAATTTGAGGTGATGAGGAATAGGTATGGTGTATGTAAATAACAAAATTAACCTATTTGTCAAAAATATTAGCGATTAAAAGCTCATTTTCGATGACATTACGACCCACATCTCTTTTTTAGATAAAATTAGTTAAAAGAGGCATCTTAAAAACACTATGAAAATTTTTGAATTCAAGATTATCGTTAGCAACATTTTTTTTTAATTTAACACATATGATTTCAGTCAAATCAATTGAAAAAATATTTTTGTTGGATCAACTTTGGAACTATTCAGTTGTTTCTCTTACTCGGAGATTTCTACATCTAGCAAACTTGATTTCATAATTTTAAAGAATTGAAGGAATATTTTAATTTGCTTTCCACTTTCACAGATTCTATTCAAGTTTCATCTATCCTGAAAAAAACATTCTTTAAACTTCTGAAGAAATATCGTCTGTCTAGACAAGAAAAAATTTAGACAAGAGAAGCTCGAGAAGCGATTGGGATTATGTAAGAATAGATACTTTTTAAAGTTTTGAAAACTAATACTTTTCTTACACGTTTTTTTTAAAACTTATTTGGAAATAAAAATGTCTAATAATGGGATATCTTCCTCGGAATTGTAAATTTCCCCATGGAGAATTTTTCTAGCTCTTTTAAAAAAAAATTTGAAAAATTCATAAAATAATCACATTTTAGCGTTACGTATATTATCTGTGTTAAAACATTAGGTTCCTATAGAATTCCTTTGTCTGAAAAAAGTATATTTTAATTGTGTAACTTGTAAATTCATTTGTCCAGAAGATCATAATTGATGATGCAAGTAAAATCGAAAGTTTTCCAGCTCAAAACTGATCAACATTATGTGACTTATTTTCATATATATATATATATATAAATATTAGACAGATATAAATATATAAGTATTAACCCCTTGACGTACGCAGACGTCTGGGAGACGTCATTTGATCTTATGTCAAAACAATGATTGACGTGTGTCAGACGTCTTCAACACAGAGATATCAAGTTGCTCCGGACAGCAAATAAATATTTTAAAGTGGTAAATTATCAATTGTGATTATTGGCATAATAAATTCAATTTAGTTGATTTTTATTTACCACTATTTCTAAATTATTTATATAATTAAACTAAACTATTTATATAATTCACTACTTTACAGTAGTTATGTCATGCTATACCTTTTAAAAAGCAAGCAAAAATAATCCAAGTATTTGCAAAATTTAGTTTGTAGTTATGTACCGTTTCTTAATTATTTCGGGGTGTCCGGATCAGTTGGCATCTCTGTAACATTCGGTTGCGAGTTGTTGTTTACAGAGCAATCAAGATCATTTCTATATCAAGAAATAAAATGTCAAGGGGTTAAGTCAGGCCTCAGATTTATTTCAAAGTACCGTTTGACGTGAAATAAAATTTAAGCTGAATAATACAAGTACTTGAATTTAATTATTCACCTTTTTTTCGAAGATTTTATTTTTTTCACTTTTTGTGTCGTTTTTAGTTCATTGCACCACATATTTAGTTTGTTTATATTGCTTATAAAAGATATATTGCTTATATTGCTTATTGGAGAATGTAGTCCACATAAAAAAACTGCAATTATAGTTTAAGATTGCTTCGTACTTGACTGAGTGGAAAAATAAATTAAAATTTTAGTTTTAGAGCACTTTAGTGCAGAAGAGTTGCTTACTATAATAAGAGCAAAAACGGCATAAAAATTTTTAAACCGGGTTATATCGAGAAAGAACGAAAAACAGAAGTTTATCAATTTTTTGTAATTTTCCATTTACAACTCTTCGCATATTTCGTCAAAACAAATTCCCCAAAATTCACCATGTGTCGATGGCTGCACATCGAATTTAACCCCATACTAACCAACCATCCAATTTTTTTGTGTAGCCCATAGTTACATAGTATTTACAACTATTTATACATATTTTCAATGGAGTTGGATTCTTTTGATTACTATACTATAAAAAATGATACTCGATTATCACAAAATATTCTATGTTTTTGGCGAAACTGTTTCCTAGTATACGCTCCGAGCAAATATTTCTTCGAGGAAGCAAATTTCGTCAAAATTAAAAAAGAAATAAATATTTCGTCATTCCATTTTTTCTTTTCAAAAAAAAAATGGTAGTGCCTACTGTATTTATTCTTTCTAATTATCACTTTAACATAGGCATCATCTAAGCCGCACGAAATAACAAGGACAGATAAATTAATTATACCCATGATCACAGAGGGATTCGAACTCCGAATCTTCTGAGTACAAGGCCAACTTTTTGACCACCATACAACCAATATTTCCGATTGTCGAGTCTTTATTGTAGTTCCATCATTCTATTTAACAATCTCCCACAAGCACTGCGAAAAGGTTTCGAAAAACGGAATCATTTTCGTCATGCATTTGAAAGTTCGCGTTTCGTTACAAATCACGTGATTTCGTGAGGAAATGATTCTCAAAATTAACGAAATACTGCTGAAAAATTGTTGAATCTTTAAAAGTGACAGTTTTATTTCTAAGAGTGTGTATTATTAAGTTTTTGTATCTATTACATATTCAAAGATTGATTTTGTTTTAAAAATTAGGCATAACTGATATAGGCTCCTGTGTTGTTCCTATTTATCCATTACTAACTTGATATTTATGGACTTTATTCGAAGCATGTAACTGTACTAGTACCTGTACTACAGCTCCCTTAAAATCCTTTTTTATCTTAAAATCTTATACCCTAATTTTTAGACTAATAATTATTTAATTAGGGTTATTCAGTGATTTTACAGTAAATTTTACAGTGATTTTACAGTTACTGTAAAAATTAAGTTCAGATTTTTTTTATTCCTAAAAATTTTAAGCAAAAATGTATTTTACAGCAAAAAGTAGCACCACTCAGGGAAACAGCGGTTTTATATTAATCTGATGAGGAATTTCTTACAGTGACTTTAAATGCCATGCAAAATAATTCGATGACTGGTAGGGTAGGATGAAGGTTCAAATCAATCAAAATTATGAAAAATTGGTAATTTTTTGTTTTGTTTTAAAACGTTGCGTTGGCACAAAAAATGAATTTATTTCTTAATTTACTGATTATAATTTTAATTACTTAGGATACTTATAAGTGTAAGATATGCGAATGGAAGATACTAACCAATTATAGAATTTCATGCCATTTTTATGCTTATTACAATTTACAATGAGTATTTTTTCTTCGCACCAATGCATTCCAAAACTAAAAAAAAAGAAGAGAATGTGCCTAGTCTATTCTACTTTTTTCAATGATTTACTTTATTCAGGATACATTGTTTCCACAATTCCAACTCTTTTCACAAACCGTTCGTTTTATCAAACGCTCGCTTTAATTTAAAGCACTACCTAAAAATTTTCAAAAAGAAAACAAAATGACTGAAAGCGATTTAATTTCACTCTAAATCCACAGTTTAATTTCACTCTAAATTCCGTAAAAATATTGTGAGCAATTCCTCTATTGCTGTTTTGCGTTGCATGGTGCCTTGTGATTGGTCAAAAGGGTTAGTAAAAACTTTTAATCAAACACATAGTAAGAGGGTTAAAATAATACAGAACAAAAAATTTTTTAAATAAAAATATATGCTAAATAAATATTTCTTTAATCATTGTTAAATAACTAGAACATCCCTATTATAAAATTTTTCAGTTTGGGTGATAAAAGTTCTTTATCAGCAAGCTGTCAGTCTATCATCTATCGTATTGTTTTTAACTCAAAAATAATTTTAAAAACACATTTTTTTCCGTGTTAATTGTGATGTCTTCAAATGATGGTCAGTTTAATTGTAGATTATTTTAAAGGTTTATGGTCGACAATGAGTACTATGAGATTCACATCCGGCATAAAATATTCCTAATTTACAGAGCATAAATCTAAGAAAATTGCTGAATTTTTTTTTTTTTTGTCGTAACGAGAAATACTATTAAGTCGATAAAGGAATGCATTTATTTAATACGACACGAGTAAATGTAAAAACATTGAAGTTTCTTTTACATAAAAGCATGTTTAAACATACTTAAAAACCATAAAAATCAATTTGAGAAATGACTGGGATAGCCTGGTTGGTAGGGTGCAGGACTCGTTTTCAGGAACGGGGGTTGAAATCTAGCTGGCTTAAGACTTCCCGTGTAATAAATATTGACTTGTGCACGTTAATTCTGAAGTTTCACAAAGTCCGCCATGTTCTCAAAGCAAGTCAATACCTCTTGGGGTACTGAATTGTGAAATAATCGTTGTCTGGTTCAGGTCAAAATTACGATCTATGGACGAATGAATGGATGTAAGAAGGCCTATAAAGCCTATAAAGGGATGTGGCGTATGGGTGTGGCAAATGTCAAATTCTTGGCGGAAGATGACTCCAGTGAAAAACAAAAACAATCGCACGTCCTCTGCCTTAATGGCTGACGACTACAACAACCTATTCTCAAAAAAACATAATTAGGGACACAGTGATATCGATAATAGTGTTCATTGGTTCATATTTCTCTTATTTGTTCATATCTTTCATCGATATCCTGGTATTTTTGTGAACTGAATCAGTAAGATTTTATTTAATATTACAACAGTCCTTGAACATCCATCCGAATTTTGGGTTTCCGACTAGGGGAGAGTGGGGTCAATTGTAAAATTTTTTACTTAACTATTTTTAACTAACAAAAAATCCAATATATTATTAGTATTAATTGACAGACGAGTAAAGTAGACTATCCTCTACTAGAAAAAAAATTAATACCTTATTTTAAATGTTATTATATTAGTTATTAACAATTTTTGACAGTCGTGCACTTGTTACAATTGTCCCCACTTACGGGGTCAATTGTAACAGTTCATAAATTCAACTAAAACATAGTTAATTATACATATTATCATAGTTGTGATATATTTTTTTATTGATCAAAATAGTAGTGATATTTTAGGAGTAAAAATAATAATGAGCAGAGACCTAAAGGGTTAAACTTTTAACTTTAAGGGGTTAAAAATTTTAATTTATGCTGTGAAAGGTGACAAATAAAATAATGCACATGCAACATAATATAAATGATATAGGAAACTATTGGTGGTTCTTAAAGAGTTAAGTAATGGTTTGTAAACATAAGATTATTTATTTTCAGCTGTTACAATCGTCCCTTTACTTATTGTTACAATTGTCACTAAGACGCCATTTCAGCTTCATTTGTTAAAAACAATGCTATAACTAGCATTGTAATAACAAAACATAATGTAATAATAGCATAACTAATTTTTTCTATTGAAATGTTAATTAAGGTGTCCACTTACATATTCGGTTAATAATTTTTATTTGTTTAAACAAAATTACATTGTTACAATATAATATTCTAATACCAAAAAAAATACGTGAAAACATCTTTGTGATGTAACTTTTTCAAAAGTACATAAAAANGAAATGTTAATTAAGGTGTCCACTTACATATTCGGTTAATAATTTTTATTTGTTTAAACAAAATTACTTTGTTACAATATAATATTCTAATACCAAAAAAAAATACGTGAAAACATCTTTGTGATCTTTTCAAAAGTACATAAAAGTGGTTGCCAGCAGGGGTGTACTTGTAGATTTATTAAATACACATTGTGCGCCACCTAGGAACCAAATCTAGAACCCGACACTCGAAATTTTTGCTCTGTTACAATTGACCCCACTCTCCCCTACTAATGCTCAACTCCGTAGTATTGCGATTTTGAACCAAATAAAGAAGACAAGGTAACTCCTGGATCAGGTATGAGGATAAATTTGCCTTCGTGGATGACCTTTTGATGAAACTAACCTGCATTTGTGTTAGATGGAGATGAAAACCACAAAAACCTCCCACGGTTCGCATGAAAGCAAGGGTACTAAATCAAAAGGATTGAATAATTTGGAACATATTTTTTACTGTAGAAATGTTCTAAACAAATTATATTTTGTTTTTTAGCATTTTTCATAAAAATAAAATAAGCCAACATTAAATTTAACTGGAATAAGTAATAGAGGTTTTGCTTTTCGTTGATCATCATAATTAATTTTAATACTGAATTTCAAGATATAATCGTTTCAACCATTTTGTTTTTATAGTTGTTTACAAAAAAATTTGAGTTTTCTTTTATTATTTTAGGATGAGTTTTATATTCGGCTGTAAAATATGCATTCTATTGAATGCATTTTTTTTAACTTCGTAATTAATGTAGAAAAAAACTTTTCCTTTTATTGCTACCGAAAGTCTATAATACATGGTAAAATGCATTTAACTGCTCTAAATAAATAAATTTTAAATATTAACTATTTTAAATATAGAACTTTCGAAGATCAAAAAATATGGAAAAATAAATTTAAAAAACACAAACGTTTTTACTGCGAAACGCATTTTTTTTTTAAATATCTAATATTAAATTTATCATAAATATATGGACAATTCATTTCATTTTAATAAGAAATACAAAATTGAGTTGAAAATTTAGTACCCAATCTTTATTTTACTATTTAAAATTATTTTTGAATAGCATTGCAAATCTTGCCATCGCCCTTGATTGTTGAACTTATAAAATAGCTAATCATCAAAAAATGTTTTACATTACAAGTTCTGAGAAAAATTATGAAAAGGATTTTAAAGTTTATTGCTTTATTTATTCACTATATTATTCGTAATTTTAACTATTATTTGAAAATGATATTAAAAAACTTAAAAATTAAAGTCTGTAACGATGGATTTTACTATTGAAATTGAATTCCATAAAGTTTAAAATTACATATGGTAAAATAATCAAAAAATGAAATTAAAGATATATTCATTTTTCTATAATTTTAATATAATTATTTTTTATTTCATAATTCATATTAATATTTATTTTAAAAGTATAGCACATGAAATTGCTTTTAAGGGAATCAGATATTTATTTTTAGGGGTAGTTTTGTCGGAAAAGAAAACTCAATTTCAAGTCTTAATTTTTCTCTGCAGCAAGAAAAATGATTAATCTTCTTTAAGATTGAATGAAAAAGAATGTAAGAAAAATTCTTACATCGTTTTTTTGCTAAGAAATATGAGACTGACCTACTTTTCATCATCGCTTTAAAAGATATGACAAATGCCTTAGAATATAATCTTACAGATGAACTTCCACTGAGAAAATAAATTAAATAAATGTCCTCAATTATTAGATGAAAACAATTATATTTTAGAAAAATTTAAGAAGATAGATTGTTTGTCTCTTAATTTAAAAAGAAACCGATGTCGCGTATTTGAAGAAATATAAATTAAAGTTTATTTTAATAAGATAATAGAGTTAAATCATCTAATTACACGATCGTTTTTTTTATTGCACTATCCCGTATTACTTCTTCAGTTTATAATCAAAATTTGCTGTAAAAAATAATTTGTTGTAATAATATACATATAGAAGAAACTTACGATAAATTTAGCGTATTTTACTTTCGTTTGTGAATTAAGGAGAAATGATTTTTTTTTAAAATTTGATGCGTATAAAACACTTTCGTTTTCAATCGTTTAACATATTTCAATGAAATATACCAATTAATTGTTTTTATGGCTTGTTTGCGAACATCTCAGCTGAAACAGATGGAGCTACGGACTGACTCTTACGAGAACTCCTCCCAACATCATGCAGCACGCTGGGTCGAGGTTACTGCGGTTACGAGTATAAGTAACCTCGAATAGCAGTACGAAGAAGCGTTTTGCATTTATTTAAGTTGGAAAAATCACACCATTGCTTCAATTTATAATCATTAAAAATTGTAAAACTCTTGCAATCTCTTAGTACTACTTTTAAAGTTGCTGAAAGGGAAATTTCCCGTGATATCTCGTGATAAATATCAAACTGCTGTAGGTAAAGCTGAACAAATTGGTAGGGCAACCAACTTACTTAGTTTGGTAACCAACCAACCAATGCCACAGCGTGCTGCAATGACAAGCTTTTAAAAAATCGCGTCCGGCTTAAATACAAGCTCTCGTTTAAGATCCCATTCAAATTTATTTCTTTTTCATATCTAGGTTGTGAGCCATAAGTACCAACCAAAGAACTAATAAAGACAGACTGAACATTTTTTTTCTCATATTTTACTGAGAAATTGATACGAAACAACACCGTCAAGGTAAATAATAATTTTCATATTCAAAATTTAATTTAAAGTAAAATATCATAAAAATGTACAATGCGCAACAAAAAAAAATGAACCACCCTGAATAACTTTTGATCTAATATTTCGAAACACAATATTAATGGCTCAAGGGTGCGACTTCAAATATGTAAATTAATAAGTTCAGACGATAATTTAACTTACGAAATCCGACACAAAGACGTATTTTTTCTGAATTAACATAGCTTTTTTTTGGACGGATTTGGATTTTGGAATCCCTAAGTATAGGGGGTAGTCGCAATCTGGGAAATATCTGGGTCAGGAGAGCGCTCCAAAGTTTGGAATCAGATTTAATTTTAATTTTTGCGTATTTCGCTATAACTCGACAAATTTTTAAGAGAATTGAAAATGTTCTGCGCATAATTATAAAATCCGCTTATCCAAAGACAATCCTAAGCAAAAAAAAAAAAATTAGTAAATATTTACTATTTTTTATTATTTTATTTAATAACAATCGCAAAATATTAAATTGTAAACCACATAAATTTTTACATAAGTTTAAATTATGTTATTTTGTATGCAAGATACAAAATTGAATGAGAGAAATCGGTAGATTAGCTCCTGCTACTCTTTTATCGTTACCCAGTGAGCACCTATGGTTACGCCACGGCGGTGGAGTAGCGCTGCCCACATCATATAACCACAAACTCGTGTATAGGGTGGGTCACATTCACACAATCACACAGAAGAAAGGACATAGAAAGAAAAAAACATCCAAGCCCTGAGCGGGATTCGAACCCGCAGCCATCGGCTCCGCACGCAGGCACGCTAACCACTCAGCCATCTGGTCGTCAAATTTAAATATATGGCTTCCTTTATATTCGATTTCTCAGTCACTACTCAACCGACTTCGCTCAAAATTTTTATTTTGCCATGTTAAATTAAATAATTTTAAATGGTATAAAAAATTGTATACCTTACGATTGAAAAATTCTTTCAACTATTACTAAATAAAATAGTAAAAAAATATTAAAACTTTACGCAAATTTACTTTTTATGTGAATTTCTCTTCCGATAAACGAGTTTTATAATTGTGAGCAAAGTTTTTAAATTTGCTTAAAAAGTTTTCATGATAAATTGAAATACGCAAAAAGTAAAATTAACATTAGGGGTCTACATTTAGGATCGCTCTCTTGACCAAACTATGGGTACCATATTTCCCAGATTGCGGCTGCCCTATATTTTGGGGTCAGAAATTTGAATCTTCCAAAAAAAGATATGTTATTCAGAGAAAGTACGTTTTTGTATCTGATTTAGTAAATTAAATTATACTCTGCACTAGCTAATTAGCATATTTGAGGTCACCCCCTCGAATCATTGAGATTGAGTACGAGAACGTGTTGATCCGATCATTAGATCAAAAGTTATTCAGGGTGGTCTGTTTTTTGTTTTGCACTCTGTACATTTTGATTATCAATTCTAAAATTTCAAATATGTTAACCATATTTTACAAAATTCCGATAGAATAAGAAATCTACATGGTTACTCTCTCCACCAATCTCACTGTTTTTCCCATAATTTTAAGCATATTTGTTTAAGCATATATTTGAAATCACCCTTTCGATTCATTATGACTGATTCTTAGAATGCAAAAATCTGATCATTAGATCAATAGTTATTCAGGGTGGTCCGTTTTTTTTTTTTCGTGCATTGTACAAACGGTATTTCTTTTTATCAACTATCTTAACTATGTTTTTCAAAAATATAATTAATATATTAACAAAAAGTCACTTCAAAAGTAATTGGGCTTAAAAATAAGAATAAATTATATCAGAAACAACATATTAAAAAGTACTTCTGAAACACGACGCCATGAGCAAATTAATGCAATTTTCTCATGTTATTTGATTTTAAAAATATTAAAGCTTCTTTTTCGATTCCAATGTACATTTTAGGGACTGAAGTTATAAATACGCAGTTTAAATAACTTATCGTGTTCACAGAAAAAGAGTTTCGAATCTGATAAAGCAGTTCTTTGGAATGAATATAATTTCTGCAAATATACCTCGCGATGCTCACTTTCTTTAAAAGTAATGAATCGGAAATGTGAATAAGATTAATGGATTCGGTGATATAAATAATTCTGTGATTTAAGCATTCAGTTTAAATGTAAGTCTTACGAATTTTCTCTTTTTAATATTTATAGAAAAAGAAGCACTATCATTACTTTTAAGAACATTTGAAGAAATTTTCTTTTTCGTTAGGGGACACTTTTTAAATAAAGAAAAATATTTTGGCAATGTTTCAAATAAGCATTTTTCATTTTCTTATTTTCAAAATTATTGATGTCTCTCTAAGACATTATTTTATTAACAAGTTTCTGTATTTTTTTTAAACTCAAACAGATACTTTCAATCTTTATTTACCTAAACAAGTTCATCTTATTCGTATCTCAGTGTCCCGAAACAGCAACAATCAAAATATTTTTAAACATATCTTTGTAATTTCATAAATTTAAGTATTTCTATTTTAATCTAGGTAAATTAAAACTATAAATATTAAAAACTGAGTTGACCTTAAGATTAAATTATATTTTACTTCTTCCATAGATATTAATTTAATATATAAAATTGTGTATTTTTCACGCCCTTTAAATTTTAATAATTATTAACACTATAACAGCATTTGGAACATTTTGATCACAAGGCTTTGAAAGTCTCTAATTCATAAAACAATTATACCAACTTAACTTTATCGAGACGTTTCCCATTTTTAACGTACTTCACAGCATTGAAGAAACCTTTTAATCGGCTAAATTACAGATGCATAAAATGAAATTTAAACTAGAACGACCATATAGCTTTCTACAGAGATCTGAGTACGTACCTTTGAAATGGAACACCCTTTCCTTTCTATTCCACATCTTTAATCTATGGGCACCAGATTATATCAACTCTGTAATGTGTTTGCTTGCTTGTTTTTTGTTGTTGTTTTTTTCGATAAGAAGATCCCCCACCTGCTCGATATTGCTCCAAGACCTTCAAATATTGCCTAAAAAGTTCTTTTCAGATCAATATTTGTGCAATAATCGGACTAGTAACGAAAATATAAATTGCCCATCTTTTCGAGTAACGGGTAAGTTTAAGGGAAAATTATAACTTATATTTTTAGCAAGAGAAACTGATGAGAATCATTGCATTGTTTTGTCGGGTAGAATAAGTTGTAAATACACATTTTAGCATGCTCAGCCACCCAATCCAAATGTGTCCCTTGATCACAGGATCATCTTGTAGACAGTGGTTAACAACCGAAGTATCTATGCTCACAAGAATAATATTACACATTTCAAAAAGTATCAATTTAAGGAATAGCTGTATAGAAAATCACACTTTTTATGATCATCTGACACTCTTATGCAAATTAACTACAACAGTATTTTCACTTGAAAATTAATGGTGTGCTGTTATGCTTTGGGATCTTTGATTTTTGTGTATGATGCTACACGCAATTCTTAAATAATTATACACTTCCTGCATATTTTTTATAAGCATTATGACTGGTCGAATGCTGTCTATAATTCAGATGATTTACCATAATGGCCAGTTGTGAACTCAATAAAATAATGAGTTCTACCAGTGTGTTAGTATTGTAAGAGATTGATTCAAAAATGGAAACTTCCTTTTGTTGGATTGGCCCCTCATTCAACCTCAACCATATTGAGTATTAAAGGTGTCGAGTTAAAAGAAGTAACCATTCTTGAAACAAACAAAAAAAACTATTACCACACTATTAGAAAGTGATATTTATGCATGAAAAACAACCTATCTATATTTCATAGAGTCCATTCCAGGGGGAAAATTATACCTGTATACAGAAAAAAAATGGTAAAATGAAATATTCGGGAGTCGTTTCTGACAGAGAGGTAACCTATCGTACTGTTACATCTAACATAAAATACGACGCGAGTACTAAAATACTATTTTGAAACTTAATACACAAATTATTAAATAGGGAATAAAAAATAAAAAAAAATTTTCAAAAAAAATCAGAAGAAGAAAAAAACATCACCTATCGTGCTTAACTCGATAAGGCTATCTAACTATAGCTTGAGACAATTTTTTATTAATTTAGCTCTAAGCTCTGTTTTGTTAAAGTATGCTCACTATGTTACAGACTAATTCCTCCTTTCCGAGAGTTTACTTTTCAAAAGTAATCTAGCTAAACCCATGAAATCTTTTATAACTAGAACTTCATCAATATATTCAGAATCGGAATACCGACTATCATTTTCCAGTCGGCGCATTTTTTCTAAGTTTTCCAGTTGTACAGATTTCGGCAAATTTTGCTTTTCCTTACAAAAATTCCCAGCAACGTTTTTAATTTATTCATGTTTTTTAGCTTTTAAAAATGTTTCTTTCCACTAGATTTGTAATTTTTTTTTCGTTTTGAATTGGTACTCGTTAAAAGTGTTCACCCCCTTCAAGTCCTGCAATCCACCTCAAATCAGAGAGGAAGTATTCCTGGGTGGAATAGGGACGTACATGAAGTCTTCATCCACGAAGTCTCTTTCTGCTCTCACTCCCTTTCTCAGTGGCCATCTCAGAACTATGACATTCACAGATGGTTTAAGAAGTTATGACGGATGTACCAGATACTCCTCTGAACAGGCTTCCCCAACTAACATGTTGGAGTGCCTAGGGCTCAGTTATCAAGATCTTTTTGGTAATCCATTACTGGTCCTGCACTTCTTGAGGGTGTTGGCTTCATGGACAACAACAACTGTTTTTTTCCCGATAATCATTGATTATCGAATAATCATATTTTTGATCAAGAGTATTATCTTATTTTGGGTTTCACTAATTTCTTAGAAACTAAATCCAAGATTCCAGTTATCATTGATTATGGATTATCAAATAATCATATCATTGATCAAGATTATCGTCTAATACGGCTTCTTTGGCAACCGCCTTTCCTAAATTACAATTTAATTTAACTTCAGTTAAGAGTAAACTTAC